CCAGGGTCCTGAAAGCCAGGATCGGTGCAGCCCCCTCCCCCAGTCCCTGGCACCTCCTGTCGCAGCCAGATCTTCTCCTGGACGTCGGGCAGTCGGGTCCCGCTCAGCTCGTCCCACAGAGCGGCGGCCGTCGTCTCCGACTTCTGCAGCTCCTCCCTCAGCAGGGCCACCTCCTCTCGCAGGGTCTGGGGGGGGGGGGAAAGGCTGGTCAGTCGCCAGTGGGGCAGGGTGAGGAGCCCACCTCCCAGCTTGTGCCCCTCCCCCTGGACGTACCGCCACTTCCCTCCTCTGGTCACTCAGCTGGAATTGCTTCTCTCCTTGCTGACGCAGCAGCTCCCGCAACTCCTTCTCACTCTGGGGGGGGGAGAAAGAGGGGTCTTTGGGGGGGCAGCTGGAGGAGGAAGCCAGTCCAGCTTCCAGGACTTAGTGGGGCTGGGGGAGACGGCAGTGGCAGAGCACAACCCTCCCTTCAAAGCAGCTGCCCCTGTTGAGGATGGAGGCCACCAGGTTGCAGAAGGTGGCCCGGCTAGATGAGCTCTGAGAGTTTGATTGAGAATCCCACCTGGGAAGGGTCCTGCCTGAACCACCTAGATGCCCCCTGTTGGATTCTTTAACAATGTGTGTGTGTGTATATATATATATATATATATATATATTCACAACATTAAAATATAAACAAACAAAAAAAAAGATAAAATACAAGAACAAAGAAAAACTAAACAAGGCATTAAAAATGTTTATAAAAAAACACATACATTGTCCATCTTGTTGAATATTAATGAATATATGTCGAGAGTAATAGTGCCCCCCCCGTTGCAAAACAAGCATACAATTTTTGGCATGCTAGAATGGGGGGGGGTGTGTCCAATTATGGCAACTTTAAGACTTGTGGACCTTGACTCCCAGAATTCTGGGAGTGGAAGCCCACAAGTCTCAAAAGTTGACTATGGAATTCTGGGAGTTGAAGTCCACCAGTCTTAAAGTTGACTGTGGAATTCTGGGAGTTGTAGTCCACAAGTCTCAAAAGTTGCCAGGATTAGAAAGCTGAGGGCTAGAGTGTCCCAGCCCACGCAGCCCCCCCCCCAGCGCACCTGGATCCTCTGGTGCAGGGCCTTGCTCAGCTTGGAACGGGTGGCGTTGCAAGTGTCCATCTCGGCCTGGTGTTCTGTTTGCGACGTCTCCAGCTGCTGCTCCAGCTGCAAACTGCCAGGAGGAGGAAGGGAATTCAGCGCAGAGATGCTTCCCCCGTGGAGAAGGACCAGGAAGACCCCCGCTCCACCCCAGTCCGGCAGAGCCAGGGAGCAGCAACCCCCCCATCCAGCCAGCGCTCACATCTGTGCCTGCCGCTCTCTGATGTCTTCTTGGCAGCGCCTGGACAGCAGGTGCACCTGTTCCAGTGCCAGGCGCAGGTCCTGGGTGTGACTGGCCAGGGAGGCCTCAATCTCTGCAGGGAGAGTCCGGTCAGCGAGGAGGGAGGGCAAGGGGGGGGTAGGAAGAGGGGTTGCCTCAGAGCAGAGTCAGAATCACAGAATTGGATGGGACCTTGGAGGTCTTCTAGTCCAGCCCCGTACTCAGGCAAGAGACCCCCTATACCATTCCTGACAAGTGGCTGCCCAGTCTCTTTTTAAAAACCAGGGGTGTCTAACCCTGGAACTTTAAGAGTTGTGGACTTCAATTCCCAGAATTCCCCAGCCAGCATAGCTGGCTGGGGAATTCTGGGAGTTGAAGTCCACAACTCTTAAAGTTCCCAAGGCTGGACACTCTTACCCTACACCACCCCCACACTGCCCAATCTCTTCTCAAAAGCCCCCCCGTGATGGAGCCCCCACAACGTCCAGAGGCGAGGAGTTCCACTGGCTCATTGTTCATACCTGAGGGCTGGGGAGGAGGGGCCGGGGCTGCGCGCATAAACGCGGTGGTCTCGCTCCAGATGCCTGCGATCGTTTTGTCTGAAAGAGACAAAGGTTGCCTTCTTTGGGAAACTCCCCCCCTCCCAAACCAGGATAAGTGGAATTTAAGTAGTTCTCAACTTACGACCGTTCGTTTAGCGACTGTTCCCTGAAAAAAGGGACTTAGGGCCGCTTTCCCCTGTGGCAGCATCCCCCCAGGGTCACGTGATCAAAATCCGGGCGTTTGGCAACTGGCGTGTATTGACGACGGTCGCAGTGCAAGCCCCCATTCACTTAACAAGCGTGTGACTGACAACATCTGCACTCACTTAGCAACAGTGAAAAGGAAGGTCGTAAAACGGGACAAAACTATTGAAGGTGTGTCTTGCTTGACACAAAAACTATTGTCTCAGTTGTGGTTGTAAGTCAAGAACCCCCTCTAACACACACACCCCATTAAAAATGGCTAAAAACTAATAATATAGTGAATAATAATAGTTAATAATACAGTTAAACTATAAGAGAACTATAAGAGAAAGCGGGTTATTGAGCTGATAGCTCCACCTCTTTCCCCGCACCCCCCCTGGCAAAATCAGAATATTGTGTGTTTTATTCATTTATTTATTAAATTTACCGGCTGCCCCTTTTTCCAGAGGCTAATCCCGGGCGGCTTATAATATTTAAAAAAATAAAACGATTTGTCAAGGTAATGATTTAAAAGCTAACCAGTTGATGTAATGTACGAGGGAATGATGGGAATGACTCAGCAGGGTCTGTGTCCCTTTAAGATCCAGCAGGGTCTGTGTCCCTTTAAGAGCCAGCAGGGTCTGTGTCCCTTTAAAAGTCAGCAGAGTCTGTGTCCCTTTAAGAGCCTTTGTATAAAAGACTCTGCTGCTGTGTTCTCTCGTTTTCCTGCTGTAACTGTGTATTGGAGACTGCTCTATTAACACGTGTCAGTATATTGTTCCTGATGTATGATAATGTAAAATAAACCATTTAATATAGACCACTGTTTACTGTGTTTATTCCTGGGTTATCTCAGCGCAAGGAGACTGTGTATGCTCTGATACTAGGCAAACAATACAAATAAAATGCTGTAAAATATAGGAAGTCCTCGACTTAACAACGGTTCATTTAGTGACCGCTCAAAGTTACAACGGCCCAGAAATAAAGTGACTTAGGGCCGTTTTTCACACTTACGACCGTGGCGGCATTTCAACACGGTCACACGATCCAAATTCAGGCGCTTGGCAACCGACTCGTGTTTACAACGGTCAGTGTCCCGTGATCCCCTCTTGTGAGCTTGCGACAAACCAAGTCGACGGAGGGGAAGCCAGATTCACTTAACGACCATGTTACTAATTTAACCATTGCAGTGATTCGCTTAACAAGGTTGTAAAACGGGGCAAAACTCACTTAACCACTGTCTCACTTAACAATGGTATTTTTGGGGGGGGCTCGTAAGTCGAGGACCAAGTGCAGGTGGCCAGAGAAGGGCTCCTCACCTTCCTGGGAGGCTGCTCGCAGGACGCTGTCCACCAGGGAAAGCCCCGGGCGCTGGGAGGGGCGCCGGCCCGGAGTGCGGGTGCTGTTCTGGGCTGCCTGGGAAACAAGCAGCATTGAGGGCGGCCCTTTCAGGAGAAATTCAGGGGCCACCAGCCCGGCCATCAAACTGGGTCCGTCCTACCTCTCCTGGCAAGGCCGTCCGCAGGATGTCCACAGCCCCCAGGCACTGGGCGTGGAGACCCCCCAACTCCTGCACGGCCTGGGAGAGCCCCCGCAGGCTGCTTTCCATGCCCCGGAGCTCAGCCCTGGCCTCATCCAGCTCGGCACCCAGCGACTCCTGCTCCTGCCTGCGGGAAGGGAGGGGGGAGAGGAAGAGGTTAGATCAGTGGTTCTCAACCTTTTTAATGCCGCGACCCCCAACCGGTCGTAAGTGGAGGACTAAACCGGTCGTAAGTTGAGGACTACCCAACCGGTCGTAAGTCAAGGACTTTCCCTGCCCGGGAGCGCCGCGCATGTGTGGTTCCGCCCCCTGCGCCGGCCGAGGCGTAGCTGGCAAGCGGCAGAGACGGAGCAGGCCGACCGCCAGCTGGCCCAGCTCAAGGGAGGTAAGGCACCCGCCGGAAAAGGGGGAAAAAATGGCGGACAGCCTTGCTTGGCGTGCGACCCCCGTGAAATGGTCGATCGACCCCAAATGGGGTCCCGACCCATAGGTTGAGAACCGCTGGGTTAGAGGGTGGGCTCGGCCACCCCCAACCCGAGGGATCGGAGAGGGGGAGCCTGGCCCTTACTGGAGTTTCCGGTGGGCATCCTTGAGGTCCTCCAGCAGGCTGCCGCGTTCTCTCAGAGCGGTGAGGCTGGACTTCAGCTCTTCTTCCGTCTCGCTGAGCTGGCGGCGGGCAACCTGGTTCTCCTGCTCCATAAACTGCAGGGGGGGGGAGAGGAGAAGGGCACCCCGAAATAGAGCCCAGGGCAGTCCAGGCCTCCCTTCCCT